CAGTGTAAAAGTGTTTCTGTTTTTCCACAGCCTTCCCAGCATCTGTTGTTTCTTGACTTTTTAATAATCACCATTCTGACTGGCATGAAATGGTTGATGGACATTTGGGTTGTTTCAGTTTTAAGCTATTACAAGTACAGGTATTATGAACTTTCATGTAGAAGTCTTTGCTTTCATTCCTCTTAGGCAAATACCTAGGAGTGGAATAATTGTGTTACACAGTAGGTACATGTAAATTTTTAAGAAACTGACAAACTTTTCTAAGATGCTTATACCATTCTGCATTCCCAGCAACTGTGTATGATAGTTTCAGTTGCTCGGCATCCTGGTCAATAAGAACTGTGGTCCAGGCTTTTAAATTTTAGCCATTCTAGTGGATGTATAGTAGCATCTCATTGTGGTTTTCATTTGGATTTTCCTAATTAAAGATGTTGAGCATCTTTTTATGTGCTTATTTGCCATATGTGTTTTCCTTGATGAAATGTCTGTGCAAACTTTTTACCTGCTTTTTGGTTAGGTTGTTCTTATTGAATTGTAAGAATTCTTTTTTTTTTTTTTTTTGAGATGGAGTTTCACTCTGTTGCCCAGACTGGAGTGCAGTGGTGCGATATGGGCTCACCACAGTCTCTGCCTCCCAGTTTCAAACGATTCCCCTGCCTCAGCCTCCCGAGTAGCTGGGATTACAGGTGCCCGCTACCACGCCCGGCTAATTTTTATATTTTTAGTAGAGACAGGATTTCATCATGTTGACCAGGCTGGTCTCGAACTCCCGACTTCAGGTGACCCGCCCACCTCGGCCTCCCAAAGTTCTGGGATTACAGGCGTGGGCCACCGTGCCCGGCCAAGAATTCTTTATGTATTCTAGAATCAAGTTCTTTGATACCTGTTTTGCAAATATTTTCTCCAAATATATGGCTTACTTTTTCATTTTTGTAAGTGTCTTTTGAAGAGAGAAATATTTTTGAGGTCCAATTTATTGATGTTTTTCATTTATAATTAATGCTTCGTGTATATTGTTTAAAACTCTCTGCCAAACCAAAGATCATTAAGATTTTCTCTTATTTTTTTCTATAAGTTTTTGGAGCTTTAGCTCTGACACTTGAACCCATGATCCATTTCAAGTTAAATTTTGTATGTATTTTGAGATACAAGGGTCAAGGTTCATTTTTCATGACTTAATCCTCGAATCACTTCTCTGTCCACTCTCTTATGAGCTTATCTAGTCATGTGACTTTAAATATCATCTGTATATTAATGATTCCCAAATTACTACTCTAGCCCAAACTGCTATTTTAAGAGATATCTCAAACGTGTCCAGAAACTAAGCTGTTAATACCCACCTTTTCTCCTCTTCCATGCCTGCCCCTCTCACAGTCTTTGCCATTTCGGTAAATGCAACTTCATTCTTTCAGTTGCTTGGGGCAAAACTCTTGGCATATCTTTGAGTGTTCTCTTTCTCTGTCACCTCCCATCTTGATCTGTTGTCAGATTCCATTGGCTTCATCTTCACATTATATTCAGAATCCCACCTCTTCTCATGATCTCCTCTTTTACCACTGTAGTCCAAGCCACCATTATCTCAGCCAGGTTATTGCTGTAATATTCTAATAGGTCTCTCTGCTTCTACTTTTGCATGTTTATTAAATTAAATGTTGTCATTTTTCTGCTTAGAACCTACCAGTAGCTTTTCATCTCATTCAGACAAGGAGCCAGATCTTTATAATGATATCTAAGGGCCTGCACCATCTAGCCACCCATTATCTATCTTACCACATCTACCAGGCCCTTATTCACTCTGCTGCAGTCATACAGGCCTTGTTGGTGCTTCTCAAACATACCAAGCACACTGTCTACCTCAGGCCCTTTGAGCTTGCCATTTCCTCTGTCTGGAATGTTTTTCTTACAGATAACTTAAAGTTTATTCTCTCACTTCCTTAAATCTGGATTCAACTGTTTCCTCAATGAGCCCTTCCTATTTAATTGCAACTCTCACCCATACATACATCTCACATTCCACATTGCTGCTTTATTTTTCTCTGTAACATGTATCACCATCTAACATATTATATGTGTTAGATGGTTCTCTTTCTTCCCTCAATAGAACATAAACTTCTTTTGAGAAGAGATGTTTGCCTTTTTTGTTGATTGCTTGCATTCCCAGCCCCTAGAGTAGTGCCTGACACATAACAATATTGTAATATCTGTTATATGAATGGAGGTGAGTAACATTTTAGGTGGTTTTTTCCCTCTGAATATAAAATGGGATGTCTGTAGTTCATTAGAACATTGTGAACAGTGCAAGTCTTCACAAAGTTGATATAGACAGACTTTAGCTCTCATAATCTTTTTCCCTTTTTTAATAAAAGAATGTTTAACATACAGACAAAATATAAAAGAGTAACAAAAATAACAAAAAAAGCAGCCATGTTCCCACCACCCAAGTTAAGAAACAAATACTAATACTTTTGAAGCATCCTTTGTGCTTTACTCTCTGCTCTCCTCCCTCTATAAACCTATTCTGAATTTGTTTATTGTTCCTATTGATTTTCTTGTAGTTTTGCCACATATGAATATATCATTCAGTTATGTATATTTTTGAACTCTCTGTAAGTGGAATCCTACCACAGGCATTCTCCAAGTTGTTTTGCTTAACCTGATACTCCAGAGTTTCATCCATAATGATGCATGCAGCTGCAGTTCATTTATGTTTACTCCTATATAGTATCCCCATTGCGCTAAGAAACCACTCTATCTGCTCTCCTGTATATACAACTTTGTGGTGGTTTTCTTGCTTTTTTAATGCTAAAAACAGTGCTGCCATGAACATAATTGTACATGTTTCATGAAACACACATGAAAGTTTTTCTACGGCAGATTCTTAGGGGTAAAATTACTGTTCCATAGGGCATTTGTATCTTTCATTTTACTAGTTCATGCCAGATTGTTTTCAAAAACATTTGTACATATTTTTACATCTGTCAATAGTATATAGTTGTTATAATATTTAGTTTTCCTAATGTGGAGGGTATAAAGTGGTGTCCCATGTTAGTTTTAATTTGCATTTTCCTATTTCCTAATGAGGCTGGATATCTTCTCAGATGTAATTGGCCATTCCTGTTTCCTCCTCTGTGAAATGTTTATCTGTATTATTTGCTCTTTTTTAATTGGGCTGTTTTTGGTTTTTGGGAGTTCTTCATATATTCCAGATACATATTCTTTGCCAGTTATATATAAAGCAGATACCTTTTCCCAGTATGTAGCTTATCTTTTCACTATCTTTTGATGAATAGAAATTCTAAATTTTAGGCCGGGCGCAGTGGCTCACGCCTGTAATTCCAGTACTTTGGGAGGCCGAGGCACGCAGATTACGAGGTCGAGATCGAGACCGTCTTGGCCAACATGGTGAAACCCCGTCTCTACTAAAATACAAAAAATTAGCTGCGTGTGGTGGTGCATGCCTGTGATCCCAGCTACTTGGGAGGTGGAGGCAGGAGAATCGCTTGAACCCCGGAGACGGAGGTTGCAGTGAGCTGAGATGGTGCCACTGCACTCCAGCCTGGCAACAGAAGCGAGACTCCATCTCAAAAAGAAAAAAGAAAGAAATTCTAAATTTTAATGTAGTTTAATTATCAGTATTTTTCTTTGTAATTTATGGGTTTTTTAAGCCTAACTTAAGAAATTATTTCCTATATAACATCATACAGTGATTTTTCCACCCTCTGTCAATGCAGATTGCCCTTGAAGTGCTCCTTAGACCTGTCCCTGACAACCTGTTCTGCAGAAGAGATCTGAAACTCAGTCACAATGGCAGAGGCAACTGAGACCAGCTCAGTTTTGGAAATCATTTTCAGAAATGGCTAGAGAGAATGTGGTGTGTGTGTGTGTGTGTGTGTGTGTAATATAGTGAAACAGAAATTTTCTATCCTATTTTTTCATTTAGTATCATGTTTCAAATATTTTTACATCATTAAAATTATTAAAGTTCAATTGTAATGAATATCGTCTTGGATGGGAATCTGAATTCTTATTGAACATTTTGCAGTTGTAAATAAGACCTCAGATGGCCAGGCTTGGTGGCTTATGCCTGTAATCCCAGCACTTTGGGAGGCTGAGGCAGGCAGATCACCTGAGGTCAGGAGTTTGAGACCAGCCTGGCCAACATGATGAAACCCTGTCTCTAACAAAAATACAAAAATTAGGTGGGCATGTTGGTAATCCCAGCTACTTGGGAGGCCGAGACATGAGAATCACTTGAACCCTGGAGGCAGAGGTTACAGTGAGCCAAGATTGTGCCACTGCATAACAGCCTGGGTGACAGAGCAAGACTCTGTCTCAAAAAACAAAACAAAACAAAAACAACCTCAGGAGGCAATTTATAAATCTTTTTGATGCATTGTTTCTTTAAGAAAGACTTATAGAGGTAGTATGACTTGGTTAAATATACTCTTGATATCAGCACAAGTAATAAGCAGTTGAAAATAATTGAGAGTCATATGAGCTTTAAGTAAATTGATTTTCTGGGCAACACTTGCTACTTGCTTGATTCTTTACAAAGAAAGTCAATATTTAAAAGTATCTAGCCTACTTGGCTTACATAAAGCTTAGATTTAATGATGTCCATATTCACTATTCATACATTGTGTAACTTATATATAATTACTCTTTTTGATATCTCACATGATTTTGGATGTACTTAGTTTGAGGAGGATTTAGTGATATTTTTAATTAATCCTCTCACTAATGTTTGAAAATGTTTAACAGGGTATATATTTTGGCATCTTAAAACTGACCTGTTCTGTTTAGGGTAATTAAAAAGTCATCAAAGGCTCAGTGACCCTGCAAGGCAGTGTACACTTGGTATGTGTGAAATACTTGGTCATTATTAAGCCAGCTTTTCTTCAAGAGAGATACACTATTTAATTAAGGAAGGTAATAAATCACCCTCCATTTTATTGTTATTGGTGTTAATGCTTGGTCTTGTAACTCTGCCCTGTCCACAGGTTAAAGTATTGCACAATCAGCTGGTCCTTTTCCACAATGCCATCGCCGCTTACTTTGCTGGGAATCAGAAGCAGCTTGAACAGACACTTAAACAGTTCCATATCAAATTGAAAACCCCTGGAGTGGATGCCCCATCTTGGCTTGAAGAACAGTGAAATCAAAGCAGAAAATAAAAAGAAAGTCATGTTGTTATATTTCTAAACAAACCTAACAAGAATTAAGCAGAGTTGGGGGAAGTGGAAGGGGTGACAAGCATTGTAGTGATTCTTGCACAAACAGCTTTAATTTTTCCCTTTTTCATACTTTAACAATTGAACTGTTAAATTTGATGGGAAGGTGGGTGGTTTTAATGTAAACATAGTTTCTATAATCTGAACACAATAATTTTCCTTTTTGAGAAATCCTTTTGTATTGTGAGGGTTGATGGCTATTTCTGTAGTTTGAAAACATCTACTATAGATTTGCACTGACGAGATAAAAATTCAAGGTTTTTGGTCCTGGAAATGAGGGCCAACTAACTTTTCCAAAGGGAGGTTTACATGATTTGTATCAACATCAGATATTTTATATATGAATATATTAAACATCTTTAAGAGATTCCTTTTCATGTATTAAAGAAAAAAGAAACTATTTTGCAGAGTAAAGTTATATGGTGTTCCTGCAGCGTCCACACAGAGGCAGCAGCTCTAATGAATGGTTAGCTTGTGGAGTTGTGACAAATACCTTTTTAAAAATGAATCTGTACCCTTGTAATTTTGTTTAGACTTTTTTTTAAAGACACAGAAATCACATTGTCATTTCTGTGAGGCTTTTAAGCTTATGAATTTGCCTCACCCAAAGTCATTGGACAGTTACGTTTGCAATTTCTTTTGGTTCATAACAAAACCTGCTTAAGAGAATTTTTTTTTTGACAGGTGGACATGGGAATGGAAATTCTTGATGGTTTCTAGAGTAGAAATCTGTTCTTAGAAAACTAGTTTTTGGGTCAATTCCATTTTGATAGAAGCGAATGCATAGACAGCTTTTATTGACTTCCATATATGTAACAATACCGTTTAAGCCTTAAATCACAGATATGTGCCTTCTCAGATACAGTAATTCTTGTTCAACCAATGTACAAAATCCATAAAGAAACCCCTGTTGGATAATGTTTGATGTGTCCATTCCTTCCATGGAAAGCAGCACTACGTATAAATGTTGGGTTTCTTTGTACTTGTTAAGCCACATTTGAGGTTTATGGTAAAAATCATCTTTTGAGTTTGCTCTTTGGTTTTTCATCATTCCTTTTGAGGAATGGGAAAACAGAAGGATTCTTTGATTTGGGTAATGAAGAGGTAATGTGGGACAGTGCGGTGGTGCCAGGAAGAAAGAGGATTGGAAAGGCCAGTACTGTTTTAGTTGCTCGGCACTACTGGTTTTGTGTTCATGTGGTTGCCCTGTCCACTACATGGTTCTGTCAGTAGTGTAATCCATTTTCAATGTAAAGCTCTTTCAGTTTTTGTCATAGACATAAATTAATATTTTTAGAGGCATCCCTCGCCTGTTCATTTCTTCTGTGTTGAAATGAAGTACCTAAAATAACCGTTACACATGAACTTTGTGGACTGTAAGATTTGTTATATATGTTCAAATGCCTTTTAGGTGGCTTTTTAATTAATATGCCTGTGTTGAGCGCTTAATACAATGTAATGTGATTGTAAATCATAAACCTATTTTAAATCATTCCTTCCTGTATATTTGTACTCAGAGAGCCTTATTTTATTCTTCCAGCAGAATTACTACTTGTGATAGTTCATTTACATTCCCCAGAATGTGCCTCTGGTGTGAATTTTGTATTCTTATTAAAAGTGTTTGCTGCAGTAAATTGTTTCTCTGGACCTTCATAGTTTAAGAAGTAACTATTTGGAAATTCTGAAGACACATGATTTGTCTTTTCTGAACCTTAAAAAATGGTGCTTCTGGCCGGGCACGGTGGCTCAAGCCTGTAATCCCAGCACTTTGGGAGGCCGAGACGGGCGGATCACAAGGTCAGGAGATCGAGACCATCCTGGCGAACCCGGTGAAACCCCGTCTCTACTAAAAAATACAAAAAACTAGCCGGGCGAGGCGGCGGGCGCCTGTAGTCCCAGCTACTTGGGAGGCTGAGGCAGGAGAATGGCGTGAACCCGGGAGGCGGAGCTTGCAGTGAGCTGAGATGCGGTCACTGCACTCCAGCCTGGGTGACAGAGCAAGACCCCGTCTCAAAAAAAAAAAAAAAAAATGGTGCTTCTGTCACTTACAATTGTTTTATCTCAGTAAGCTATTTTTTTTTTCAGTGTGAATCTCTTTTGAGAGCTCAACATGTCCATTCTTAACCACATTTCAATAACAGTTATTGTAGCTAAGGAGCTAAATAGTTTCATGGATTGATTCTTTTCAGAATAAATTTAAAATACCCATGATTGTGATAGTGGGCACATGAGCAAAAGAAAAAAGTAAATCAATATATTTAGCCAATGGCACATTTACTTTGTTAGGAATGTAATTTATGTTCATTATAGAAAAGAATTAGAAGAAAATTTCAAGTAATAGAAGATAACTACCTTCCCAAGTGAATAAATACTGCATGGAACCACCCAACACCTCTGAAGTTGGATATTTTAGTTTTGGATTTTAATATTATAAGCTCTATTTTGAATATCCTTTAATATAACATACATTTACATCTTTGCACTTTTACCTACTTAGTCCCTTAGGTTATATTCCTAGAAGTGAAAATGGGCCCTTAAAAGTATATACACACTTTTAAAACTTTGTAATGTATTGCCTGTTTGCTTTCAAGAAAGACTGTGCCAACTTACACCTGTAACAGCATACACATGTTTAGTATATTTTTTAAGCCAGTACTGTATATATAAAATGAAATAATAAAAGAGAAAAAAAGGAAGATAAAGGCTGAAGAGTCACAAACTGGAGAGTTTGGGGATGCTGGGTGTGAGAGCAGGGAGTGGATGGAAATGGCTGGCTTTTCTCTCATTAAAATAGAAGTTGTTATTCTAGAAAAAAATAATGCACTGAGGAACTGGTCTGTGAAATTAAACTTTTTATCCCAAAGCTTCCAAATTTTAGGGTCCAGGAACTATCTGGGTTTGCAAAAGCAATTTAGCTGAAATCTAGGCTTTAAGAAGCATCTTTCCCATATTCAAAACACACTGATAATGTTACTGACGCTTATCCAATAGCGTGTGAAACTAGAAGGTTCCTTAGAGATTATGTAACACACTTTTTTTACAGATGAAACTATCAAGGCTTCAAAATATGTTAAACTGACTTAGCCAACCCCCATCTCCAAATGTAATGCCACATGAGTATTTGCAACTATATACTTGAATTCCCCTTTAAATCCTGCCATTTCAACTGCATAATTAAATCAGTGTGTCAAAAGTGTCAAGTTTCTTCTAAAGTTAATGTGTATTAAATATCTTCCCCATTGGGGGAAAAAAATCCATCTCCCTGCAAATGGCTTCATACTAGGTACATTGCAAAGTATGCAAGATGCCTGCTTTTCTCTCCACTGGCCTTTAACTTGCAGTATTCTGCAAAAGGAATCAGGTGAGCTTGGAAAGTGTTATATAAAGTAAAATGATATATATTGAAAAAAACTGAAGATAAATTTCTTCTAATCATGGAACTGTTAATTAAAAGAATAATGTAGCTACCTCAGAATGTGCCTATTCGCCTTTAGCTTTCACTGGAGATGACTGTAGTTGAGAAAAAGAAAAGTAAATTGTCTGAGTTGCTAGTTCCTTGCAGCATTCAAGTATAATTGATGCTAATTTTGTGAAGTACTACTTAAATAACTACTTGCAATTGCCCTAAATATCCTTTGCCAGTAGCTCTTTCTGTTTTTTCTTTTTTAACCTTTCAGTTTGCCTGGGAGAGTTGAAACTACCTGAAATCTTTGATCACTCAATTTTAACCAAATTTAGGCATTTCAAAAAATCGAATTCCCCTTTAAGACTACAAATTTTTTTTTTCTTTTTTTTAGAGGGAGTCTTGCTCTGTCGCCCAGGCTGGAGTGCAGTGGCGCGATCTCAGCTCACTGCAAGCTCTGCCTCCCGGGTTCACGCCATTCTCCTGCCTCAGCCTCCCGAGTAGCTGGGACTACAGGCGCCCGCCACCATGCCTGGCTCGTTTTTTTGTTTTTTTAGTAGAGACGGGTTTTCACCGTATTAGCCAGGATGGTCTCAATCTCCTGACCTCGTGATCTGCCCCCCTCGGCCTCCCAAAGTGCTAGGATTACAGGCGTGAGCCACTGCACCCGGCCAAGACTACAGATTTTTACATCAGCTAAGACTATCCAGTTGTGAGGAGGCTATTTTCTGATCAGGAGACCAGTTGTATTTTGCGTTATTTCAAAGCTTTCCCAAGGTCACAGTTCCTTTACTATTTTTACAGTGTAGCAGGACCTATTAAAATAGGACAATGCAAACAATTTTTTTGAGGACTTTCATTAAATTCAGTTCTATGTTCCCACTTGAAGGTTTCCTGTTCAACAGGTTTCCCAGCATAAATGGGCCTTTATAATAAATTGTCAAGTGGTCACCATAATGTACAGGAAACTACAAACTTCAGCTTTGTTTTCATGAAATAAAGTTTGACTCTTAGTAGTTTATGTATGTTAAGTGAGAACTGTTAGTTAGTCTGGTATCAGCTCTGGTAGGGAAAAAGGAGACTAGAAATATGAGGAAAGTAGGTCCAGTCTGAATACCATAACTCTACTCTTATGCAGTTAGTTGGTTAGTATGCCATCAGAACTAAGAATTCTGGGTTTTTTAAACAAGTGAAACTGTTCCGCAAGAACCAAAACCACAGTTTTGTTTGGGTCGAAGCTAAGTTTTACCATAAACTCTGTCAAAGATTGCATGAATTGTTGATTCATAAGGAAGATGTAAGAGGAACAGGATACCATTTTGTTGATTTTAAAAGTAACTTTCTATGACTTACGACTTCCATATCACTTTCCCTTTGGTACAGGTGTATATGTTCATATAAATAACTTACGGGTGAAATGTACACCTAGCTGGTATAGGGCACATAGGAAGAAGAACGTAAGCCACATACATCTCACTACATCTTGGAGCTTTGATTATAGACTTTCTATTAACAGCAAACTGTAAAAACTTTTTTTTTTTCAAACGAGTGTAAAGCATTATAGAGTAGTGAGACGAAAGGTTACTTTAATCTTGCTGTCCTTCCTGAAAAGTTTTTAAATTATGAAGCCTTAGAATAATGAATAAAGTACTCAAGATAAATTATTTATATATGCTACTTTACTGTTATTCTCTTCCTAAATGATTTCTGATTCTACGTTAGGAAGCTTTTTATAAAAACTGCCTAAGGCTTTAGGCAGATAACTATTCTTTCCTTTGAGGAATATATACTTATTATGACTAGACATTCAGCTCTTAAGAAAGGCACAGGGTAGGCTGTCTTTTCACCCTGTATCCCCAACTCCTTGCATAGTTTTCTTTCTTGAGACAGAGTCTCACTCTGTTGCTCAGGCCCAGCTAAGTTTTGTGCGTTTAGTAGAGATGGGATTTCACCATGTATATCAGGCTGGTCTCAGACTCCTTCAGTATACGTAGTTCTGCCCGTATCGGCTTCCCAAAGTGCTGGGATTACAGGCGTGAGCCACTGTGCCAGGCTTCCTTGCATAGTTCTTAATTCAAAGGAGTCATGTATAAAAATTTTTTGGTTTTTGATCCAAAATTCAAATGCAGACAAATATTCAGTGCTTGCACTGCAATTTCATTTGAATGAGTTACAAAAGAGGCAGTATACTTATAACTTACTCTAAATTAATGTCAGGATGTTACCTAAGACATTAGGATGTTTGCAGAAGAGTGACCAGTTTTTAAAATTAGACAAATCACCATGTTGCAACCATGACTAAAATAATTGATTCACACAGATGGCCAATGGATGCCAATATCATTAGGTGAGAGATTAATGGAAAACAGACTATTTCCATAATACCAAAGTATTACCCTACAAATGGCTCAATTTGAAAGGGGAAAAAGTACCATTAATAAGAAGAGATTTGTGCTTACAACCTAAATTGTGATCAAATTTAAAATCATGAATAATCGTAATCATTGTGCCTTAGTTATAATGAGATATAAATTACACAGTATCACATATTTCTGCTGGAATTGTTCAGTCTGCAGTGAATCAATTATTTTACCTTAAATTCCAGTGTACAGAAGATACAGGGGGTTAAGGAATAAGTTAAATGATACCAAGAAAAATCAACTGGACAAATCCAGAATCTGAGACATTCTACAACATAATTGTCTTGGTCTCTTCAAAAAGTCCATCACAAAAGAAAAAAAAATAGTAATACCGTTAGAAAACAAAAGATTTGAGATCATAATTCAAAGAAAGTAGCTATATAAGACATTTGGAGGAACAACTGAGTCACTTGAGTGTGTATTTGACACTGCTAGGAACTTATTTTTTTAGGTATGATATTATATTGTGGTAATGTAGGGGAACAGCTTTATTGGGAATGCATGCCTAAACTGCTGAAAGCCAAAGTGGCATGATGTCTGCAGTTTACTTTTAAATGACTCAGCAAAAATACATTCAAATGTATTCACACATATAGAGAGACAGATGTCAAAGAAAATATGGCAAAATGTTAGCAATTGTTGAGATAAGTGGGTAGATACGTGGGGTTCCATAGTAATAGTCTTTTACATTTTCTTTTTAAAAATGTTTTTCATAATAGCATTTTTTTAAAAAAAAAGGATATTTGGTCCAGAAAGGCAGTAGGACCCACTAAATCTTTCCTCTTGCACCAGGGTTGCAATCAGAGGCTTT